GGGGTAAGATTTGGACATGAATTTCGACCAAAAAATCGGTGTCGAGATTTGAATGCCACATTAATATAGAGGGAAAACCATGAAGAATAAGCCAAACTTCGTGAAAATCGGATGAGATTTGGCCGAGATATGGGGGTGGTAATTTTTAACCCATGTCTATATACGAAACTTGGGGTAAGATTTGGACATGAATTTCGACCAAAAAATCGGTGTCGAGATTTGAATGCCACATTAATATAGAGGGAAAACCATGAAGAATAAGCCAAACTTCGTGAAAATCGGATGAGATTTGGCCGAGATATGGGGGTGGTAATTTTTGACCCATGTCTATATACGAAACTTGGGGTAAGATTTGGACATGAATTTCGACCAAAAAATCGGTGTCGAGATTTGAATGCCACATTAATATAGAGGGAAAACCATGAAGAAAAAGCCAAACTTCGTGGAAATCGGATGAGATTTGGCCGAGATATGGGGGTGGTAATTTTTGACCCATGTCTATATACGAATCTTGGGGTAAGATTTGGACATGAATTTCGACCAAAAAATCGGTGTCGAGATTTGAATGCCACATTAATATAGAGGGAAACCCATGAAGAATAAGCCAAACTTCGTGAAAATCGGATGAGATTTGGCCGAGATATGGGGGTGGTAATTTTTAACCCATGTCTATATACGAAACTTGGGGTAAGATTTGGACATGAATTTCGACCAAAAAATCGGTGTCGAGATTTGAATGCCACATTAATATAGAGGGAAAACCATGAAGAATAAGCCAAACTTCGTGAAAATCGGATGAGATTTGGCCGAGATATGGGGGTGGTAATTTTTGACCCATGTCTATATACGAAACTTGGGGTAAGATTTGGACATGAATTTCGACCAAAAAATCGGTGTCGAGATTTGAATGCCACATTAATATAGAGGGAAAACCATAAAGAAAAAGCCAAACTTCGTGAAAATCGGATGAGATTTGGCCGAGATATGGGGGGGGTAATTTTTGACCCATGTCTATATACGAATATTGGGGTAAGATTTGAACATGAATTTCGACCAAAAAATCGGTGTCGAGATTTGAATGCCACATTAATATAGAGAGAAAACCATGAAGAAAAAGCCAAACTTCGTGACAATCGGATGAGATTTGGCCGAGATATGGGGGTGGTAATTTTTGACCCATGTCTATATACGAATCTTGGGGTAAGATTTGGACATGCATGTCGACTAAAAAATCGGTGTCGAGATTTGAATGCCACATTAATATAGAGGGAAAACCATGAAGAAAAAGCCAAACTTCGTGAAAATCGGATGAGATTTGGCCGTGATATGGGGGGGGGTAATTTTTGACCCATGTCTATATACGAATATTGGGGTAAGATTTGAACATGAATTTCGACCAAAAAATCGGTGTCGAGATTTGAATGCCACATTAATATAGAGAGAAAACCATGAAGAAAAAGCCAAACTTCGTGACAATCGGATGAGATTTGGCCGAGATATGGGGGTGGTAATTTTTGACCCATGTCTATATACGAATCTTGGGGTAAGATTTGGACATGCATGTCGACTAAAAAATCGGTGTCGAGATTTGAATGCCACATTAATATAGAGGGAAAACCATGAAGAAAAAGCCAAACTTCGTGGAAATCGGATGAGATTTGGCCGAGATATGGGGGTGGTAATTTTTGACCCATGTCTATATACGAATCTTGGGGTAAGATTTGGACATGAATTTCGACAAAAAAATCGGTTTCGAGATTTGAATGCCACATTAATATAGAGGGAAAACCATGAAGAAAAAGCCAAACTTCGTGGAAATCGGATGAGATTTGGCCGAGATATGGGGGTGGTAATTTTTGACCCATGTCTATATACGAATTTTGGGGTAAGATTTGGACATGAATTTCGACCAAAAAATCGGTGTCGAGATTTGAATGCCACATTAATATAGAGGGAAAACCATGAAGAATAAGCCAAACTTCGTGAAAATCGGATGAGATTTGGCCGAGATATGGGGGTGGTAATTTTTGACCCATGTCTATATACGAAACTTGGGGTAAGATTTGGACATGAATTTCGACCAAAAAATCGGTGTCGAGATTTGAATGCCACATTAATATAGAGGGAAAACCATGAAGAATAAGCCAAACTTCGTGAAAATCGGATGAGATTTGGCCGAGATATGGGGGTGGTAATTTTTGACCCATGTCTATATGCGAAACTTGGGGTAAGATTTGGACATGAATTTCGACCAAAAAATCGGTGTCGAGATTTGAATGCCACATTAATATAGAGGGAAAACCATGAAGAAAAAGCCAAACTTCGTGAAAATCGGATGAGATTTGGCCGAGATATGGGGGTGGTAATTTTTGACCCATGTCTATATACGAATATTGGGGTAAGATTTGAACATGAATTTCGACCAAAAAATCGGTGTCGAGATTTGAATGCCACATTAATATAGAGAGAAAACCATGAAGAAAAATCCAAACTTCGTGAAAATCGGATGAGATTTGGCCGAGATATGGGGGTGGTAATTTTTGACCGATGTCTATATACGAATTTTGGGCTAAGATTTGGACATGAATTTCGACCAAAAAAATCGCTGTTCAGATTTTAATGCCAGATTAATCTAGAGGGAAACCCATGAAGAAAAATCCAAACTTCGTGAAAATCGGATGAGATTTGGCCGAGATATGGGGGTGGTAATTTTTGACCCATGTCTATATACGAATCTTGGGGTAAGATTTGGACATGAATTTCGACAAAAAAATCGGTTTCGAGATTTGAATGCCACATTAATATAGAGGGAAAACCATGAAGAAAAAGCCAAACTTCGTGGAAATCGGATGAGATTTGGCCGAGATATGGGGGTGGTAATTTTTGACCCATGTCTATATACGAATCTTGGGGTAAGATTTGGACATGAATTTCGACCAAAAAATCGGTGTCGAGATTTGAATGCCACATTAATATAGAGGGAAAACCATGAAGAATAAGCCAAACTTCGTGAAAATCGGATGAGATTTGGCCGAGATATGGGGGTGGTAATTTTTGACCCATGTCTATATACGAATCTTGGGGTAAGATTTGGACATGAATTTCGAGCAAAAAATCGGTGTCGAGATTTGAATGCCACATTAATATAGAGGGAAAACCATGAAGAAAAAGCCAAACTTCGTGAAAATCGGATGAGATTTGGCCGAGATATGGGGGTGGTAATTTTTGACCCATGTCTATATACGAATCTTGGGGTAAGATTTAGACATGAATTTCGAGCAAAAAATCGGTGTCGAGATTTGAATGACACATTAATATAGAGGGAAAACCATGAAGTACTGGAATACAAATAGCCCGAACCCGAATAACTCTTTTTCTCTATGTGAACAGAGTACAATTGTTCACACGTTTGGGCTTACATTATTAAAATGCTATAAGTTATATCTATCCATCTTTCTATCTGTCTATCTCTTGATAATATCTCTTGATAGCATATCAGAAAATATGCCATTTAACTCGTTTCCTGGCTTCGTATTTAGCTGATGATTTAATAACCACAGTTTTCAAGCCCACAAAACCTGTTTCAAACCACGTTGTGCCTTGTAAATAATGCATAAATGACTATCTTTTTGCCTTATTATAAATAGCCCCAGCCTTAAGCCTCAAACCCAAATCCAATCAACACTTTTAATGTCCGATAAACACGCACATTTTAATCCCAACCTGGCAGATGACTTCATTTGAGCTGCCGGCAGACAAGGGTCTGGGAATCCGTGCTCATTCATGTGTGCTTTGATTGATGACTGCGCCCACGAAACTGATCAAATTTATTCAACAGCAACTTCACACATTCGACAGCGTTGGGATTGTGTCTCTATCTTGGGGACAGAAGACGCGGCGATATGCACGAATCCGAGATATACTTTGAAGCGCGAGGCTGCTTAAATGACAGGCAACTGAAGTATTTATACCCTTGCAGGAGGGTATTATATTTATGTTACGAAGTTTGTTACGCACAGAAAGAGACATATTCGATCCCATAGAGAATTAAAGCATTATCTTGATCTTATAGCTGTCATAAGCTTAATCGAAAATTAAGTTCTTCAATATAATACTGCTAAGTTTTTCAAGATATCCTGATATTGTCTAGTTTCCCTTTCAATATCGGACTAAATCATGGGCAGAATATAACGCAAAATGTGTTTTTTGTGCAAAATACTTTTTTATTTTTCAGAATAACTTGACTAAATTCAGTAGACTACTCAGATTAGAAACCTATATAATATGATTTCAATCCTGCATTAACAAATGTTTCTGTATAACAATATTTAACATATGTGGGTATTTAATGTTCGGCGTACCGAAGACATTTGTTCTTTCTTGACTTATCGTATATTTTTTTCTGCTTGTCGTTGCATTAGTTGTTTTTGTTGTTGTTGTAATTGCTGGTTTCAGTGCTGGATCCACCCATCTGCCCACCTGGCTGGATGCCTGCCTCTCTACTCGTAACTCGAGTCGATTAAAATTCCGCATAAATGTTGAACGTTAATCGCTCATTGTTTGAGGAGGAGCACAAATTAAATTGTTTGCTTTTGTAAATTTGACATATAATAGTTGTTGTTGTTGTTGCTGTTGTTGAGCGGCTTTTAAGCTGCCGCCACAAATATCGAAGTGGATTTCGCGTGCTGCACTTCTAATTGCAATTTTTTGGGCTGCTGATGGCAATCAACGCAGACAAGTTAATTAAAATCCAATCCAAAGACAGATAAATGTGTATGCGTGTTAAATGTACTTACATCTATTTACATTTTAAACGGAACGAATATGCTGAGCAGCGTAAGGCATATGTTTTGGGGTTTATCTGAAGCAATTTAGAATTGATTTCAAATTGATTTTACACATATTTTAGGTATTATGTGGTTATTATCCGACTTTGCCTGAAAGCATCTGGCCAAGCTACTTTGAAATAGTTAAATAAGCCCAAGTAAAAAACGTGTCCATCTTAGTCAATCCGATTGTGTTATTTTAATATAAGATGACTATTAGAAGAATATCTTATTAGAAAAAGTACGTTGCACCAGTTGAGGAGTGTTAAGAACAGGCTTTGATTAATTGACAATTAGAGAGTATATTCGCCATTTCCGTACTGTTTGATTTTGAGCAGATCGCAGGAATGTTGAAAGAGCTTTTCGCACTTCTCCGGCTGCTTGGCGTCCGCATGGAAAGGACCCTTGCCGCCATTGCTCAGATATGTGCCGCCCAGTCCCTCGATCGATGGATCTATGGCCGCAAAGACAACCGTGCGTGAGCCACGCTCTGGAGTCTTGAAGAAGATCTTCTTAAAGAACGGCACGGCCGTGGTGGCCGAGTGCTCGAATAGATCCGTGTCCACAATGCCGGGATGCACCACATTCACCTGCACATGGGCCTTCTCCGCGTCAAGCAGCGTTTGCAGGTGACGTGTGAAGAGAATCTGCGCTAATTTCGACTGACTGTACGCAGTTCCGGGATAATAGTTCTTGCTGCGAGGTGAAAACAGAAACAGAGTGAGCTCAAGTAGGGTAAACCCAGTCAATAGCTAACTCACAGTCCATTGATGTCCTTGTAGTTGATGCGGCCAATGAGATTTACGCAGGAGCTCACGTTTACAATGCGCGCATTCTTACCCTTCTGTCCGGCCGCGCGCAGCTTCGGCAGCAGCAGGTGCGTGAGCATAAAGTGGCCCAGGTAGTTGATGGCAAAGTGCGACTCGTAGCCATCGGCCGTGAGCTTGAACGGCGCAAACATAATTCCCGCATTGTTCAGCAGCAAATCGATTTTTTGATATTTCTGCGAGATACGCTCCGCGAAGGCGCGCACCGACTTCAGATCCCCCACATCGAGTTGCTCACAGATAAGCTTGCCCTTCGTCTGGCTTAGATCCACAATGCCGCCAACGGCGACCTCGGCACTGCGAGGATCACGAACGCCTGCAAGATGAATAGTATATGTTGATTCAAAATATCATAAAGATCGGTTTAAGTTTGCTTTCTGGTTTATTTTTAAATCTAAAATTCAAGGTACTTTCTGCCCATTAAAGTATGCAATCATCTTACTGCTGCCTTTATTTTTAAGATTTATATTTGGTATTTTTAAAAATAGCAACAAAAAACAAAGCAAATTTCTTTACTAAAGCGGGTTATACAAGCCGTTTACACACATTTGTCAATATAATATCGCGTTTTAATTCACATTCCTTCAATACCTAGTTTCGTATTATTTAAATACTGCATAAAAGCAAAATATCCCCTTTTATATACTCCACACAAAATGTCCCCTTTTTATGCAACACTAAAAACGCGAAGAGGTAAATATTTTTCAGTATGCCCAGAGGTATGCAATATTTTCCCGCCTGTTATTGCTGATGTTTTTGCTGTTTTGGCAGCATTTTGAATGTGTGGACGGACTTTAAAGGTGTAGAAGATTTAAAAATGTTATATTTGATTTCATTTCTCATTTTTTAACACGTACTAAGCTTGGAATGGTAGACAAAGGTGTATTACGCAACCTGAGGGATCTACTTAACATAAAAAGCAACTTAACACTTTCTTAAGCATATTATTATTCGAAAATATCCCGCGTCAAAATGTGCCATTTAGCATTTTACAACACTGACTAATATGAAGCGAATCTTTTTCATTAAGCCCTGAGATATGCATTAATTACACGCAAAAAATTGGGGTTTTTTTTTTGTTGCTAGCAACATTTGTACGGTGCGGGGCAACTTGTTGAATGCGTGGACCGTAAGTGCGGGTGTGAACAGATTTGAAAATGAAAAAATAAATTGTTTGACTTTGATCTCATTGTTAAGGCAATGCACGCGCCAAGTCAACCTTTTTTCTTTTACCAGCATTACGTGTGTTTGCTGAATAAATAATTGAGTGCGCTGATTTATATATTTAGCTGATGCAAGACGGCCATTTAACCGAGTTCAATTGGTCAAGAACGAGAATCCACTCACCCATTACGACAGTCATATCGCATGCCAGCAATTTCTCCACAATGCGCAGCCCGATGCCGCGATTGCCGCCCGTAATTACAGCAATGCGATCCGGTTGCTTGTAGAGTACTATAAAATTGTGATAAATACCTTGTAAATCGAAAGTAATTGCATTTAATAAGCAGCTCGGCTAACATACCTACACGATCCCTCGACGCGTACCGTGCATCGTGTAGAAGGCCCACAATACCCAAATACTGGTAACGGAACTCTGTCTTCCATTCGAACCACGACTTGGGTATACCCTTGGTAGTCTTGCTGAATATAAAGCCGCACACAACAATACCGATGACAAATAGCAAAATCAACATTGTTAACATTAACGTTTGGATGTCTGCCGAAACTGTGAAGATAAGGAATCAGAACATAGTAATCGAGTCTGTTACGTGTAGGTGCAAAGATCGCCGAGGAGACTCTGATAAGGGAGCGTTCCATTAGCCAACGTCACATTTCATTTCAGATTGAATGTTAATAATAGTAAATGGGGCTAATATTTGTATGCATATATCATGTATGGGCAGCATTAAATTGCTTTTGGCGACGCCAGCAAAGTGCACTTTTTGCGACACTTGACTCGAGTCAGCAACCATTTATAATTTTCCCATTGTTGGTTTTGTTTTTTTTTTTTATTTAATTTGCACTACCATTTTTGTTGAGGGCTAGAAACAGGTATTGCTAATAATATGCATAGGTGTATATATTATAATCAATTAAGAACTGCACTTTGATTCCAGCATTTGCCTCGCTTCGCCAATTAGTGTTTGATTTAATTGCTAAACTCTGACTCTGTAGGGCTATTTAAAACAATCATTGAGCTATAATAATCTTCTAGAGCCATGGAATTATGGCCCAGTTACCAGTTGGTTTCTAAAAAACAACAACGAAAACGACTCATAAAATGCAAATTAATGAAAGAGAGCCAAGCCAAGGAATGAAAGTTGAAGAGCCAAAAAAAAAACAGCAGCAAAAGAATGGCCCAAAAGCTAAAAACATGCTCGTAGAAAAGACAAACATATGAAAAGTTACTAATGGTAGCTGCGCACAGGTGCGAAGAGGGCTTCCAACATAACCCACTAAATTGTTCACGCGCGCGCATGTGTGTGTGTGTGTATGTTGTGTGTCTATGTTTGCCCTAGTGTGCATGTGTTTGTGTGCCTTTTTGCGTTGTCAACACTGTGCGGCGTCTTCGACTTCCGTCAACAAAAACTAACTAGCTGCTTGCATTTTGTTAACTTTCTTTTTCAAGACCTTGTGTATACTCTAACTATGCATGCACACACACACACACACACACACACACACACACACACATTTACTTACTGCACATACACTTAATTATGTGGGCTGATGCGTTTTCTATGCACTCGCGTGGCGAAACTTTTGTCTATGCTAATATTTGACAACCTTATTCAGTTAAAAGGTAAATAGTTTCAATTTCTGTCTGCGTTTGGCGCAGCACGTCACGTTTACAAATTCAATAGCACGGCAAACCGGTTCCAAAGAAACACAACCACACCGCTGGAAATTCAAAAGACAACTGAATCGTTTAAGTTTCGCGCGCTCGTTTTCTGTTTAGAACCTGATTTTAGTTTTCAATTTAGTTTTTTTTTTTTTTTGCTTTTGCTTTTGATCTGCAGCTCCGAACAACAGGTGTCAACGCCGGCAAATGATTTAACACTGAGATAGCAACCCACCTGTAGTAATAAATAAAATTGTTGCAAATTGTTGGCGCACTTAAAACTGGTACTCGGTATAATTAAATCTAAAATTGTATTTTTTAAAAATAGAAACCTGCTTACGAGCCGTTAAGCTGAAAAAAATATCTAATTTGCACTAACAACTTTAGCTAACAGCTGTTAGGCAGCCGGCTTTCAGTGTGCCCGTGCTGTATAAGCTCATAAATGTTAGGCTCTGAATTATAAAAATACCAAAAAGACCATTACGGGATTACGCTACAAAATACTGACTATTTTTTCCCCGTTGATCTGTTTTTTTAAATATTGTAATTTTTTGTTAATGTTGACGAAAACTCCAATTATTTTTTAGCTAGCTGATTTGAATTTATTTATTAAACAAAAATTGTACAGTGCATTGAACGAAAGTATTATGTCAACTAATGTTTTGCATAGCTTAAATTGATTATTATAATTAGAACAAATCGAAAATTGAAAAAAGCTTAGCACAACACAAAATCTAAATATAGGTTTTACTCGTACTTACATTGTTTATATATTTGTGTTTTTTTGTTGTTTCTTTTCTTTTAATAAAATTTCAATTTGTTAAACAATACAAGGGATTCAAAAGTGTTATTATGTGAGTGTTTTGTGTCTATATAATTGTATATATTTTTATGCGTTAGATATATATTACTAAATTGAAATATATTTTTGTAGGTGCGCCTAAATACTATAAAATAAATTTGTTTTGAAAGGGAAAATGGATTTTAAAATTTTGAAACTCCTCGTCTAAGTTGCAGCTGCTTCGTTGTTGTGCTCCTCGATCGCCTTCATGGACAACGCAGCGGCATTCTTAGGCTGCTTTAACTGTCAATTCTCCGTGGACATAACACCGATATCGTCATTAATGGCCAGCACCTGGCTAATGAAATTTTGATCGGAAACTACCTCGCACAGGGATTTGCACAGCTCCGTCAGCTCGTGCTGAGACATATTCAGCTGTGGCGATAGCTTCATCAGATGCTGCGACACATAATCGGGCAGCTGCTGTAATTTATGAAATGGGATTATAAATTTGTGCTCAAATTGCGGTAGGAATTGATTGGAGCTTACCTTGCCCTTGCCCACTTTAAAGGCGCTAAACATCAGCTTGGTTTTGACGCGCTGCTCACTGGGCCCATCGTAGAAGAGTGTTAGATGTGCCTCCTGCACATTGGATACCAGCGGGAAGTAGAGTCCGGCATAGACACGACCCTTGGCGTCGCGTGAGAGCAGCGACCGGAAATTGTACACCAGATTACGGCGAACAGTCACATCCACGGCGGTCATGTACTCCTGGGCAATGTAAATCAGTGACGTCTTGAAACTGGCCTCGTCACCGCGTATTTCACGCTCCTTCCATTCCACAAACTTGTCGCTATACTGGCTGAAGCTATAGCAGTAATCCCGCTGCAGATGCGGCTCCTTCGATTGGTTGAACCAGCCTGTTCGCAGAGAGAAAGAAGTTGTATCAAGCTGTGTTTACATGTATTTGAGCGTGTTTGTCTTACCTGTGTGTGGATAGCTCTGGTCGCACATGACCGTTACGGCGCGTCCCACATGATAGCCCGGATCCAGGATCATGACACCACGACGCTCGCCAATGGCGAAACGCATGGCAACCATCACGTGCTCCTTCTCGACACCGGCATCTGCCGAATTCATGCCGTACTCCTCGTCCATTTGCACATAATCGTTGCAGTCGACCACCTGCTCCTCGCAGGACACCACATACAGATACTGGCCCAGCTCCGGAAACATTTGCACCAGTCGCGCCATGATCTCAAAGGCCAACGAGACGCACATGTGATGGCGACGATTGATGGGCACATCGTAGAACTGAAAGAAACTACGCAAATCGGAGCGGCGAGTGCGTTTAAAGCTGCGATAGAAGTCCACAAAGAGATTAACCGTATTGTAGTGGGTCTCCTCCAGCATGCGCTGCAGTGCCGTCTCCACAATGCCATTTAGCTCCTCGTACTGCCACACGTTCTCGAAAACCAAGGTGCCCTTCGCGGGCTCCTCGGCGCTGCCCCAGTCGGGCAGCGGCAACGGGTGGCCCAGCGGCCAGACACCGTTGATCTGATTGTAGGCGCTCAGATCGTAGCCATCAGCCATTGCCCAGTTGGCGCCTGGGTGTCGCTGCTGTTGCTGCTGCTGCGTTGGTGACTTCTGCCTGGCCAGCAGCTGGATGATGTCGGAGTAGCGCTCCGAAGGGGCTGCCACCGATGTCAGGTCGGTGTTAGGCGTCCACTGCGGCTCCTCAACATCATCATCGTAGTCCTCACTTGATGTCGAGGGCGTCCGTATGGGCGTGGCTCGGGAAGCGCAACTGCTTGACTTATCAGCTTGCACATGGGCGTAGTCAACCTTCGTAGTCAATCCCATTCCGCGCATCGCATCCGCCAGCTGCTGCTCCTGCGTGGAGCTAAAGCCGCCGGCGGCTCCTCCAGCAGCAGCATCGCCGCAAATGCCATCTTCATCGCTGGCATAGCTCGGCGGCGGCGCCGCTCCATCCCGGCCATGGCCAACTCCTGCGGCGAGTCAGCTTGGCCATTCGGCTCCCCAGCGGCCCACGGTGGGCACGTAGCCACTTTCACAGTCATTGAATGTTGCTTCTAGTTGAATGTTGGCGAATTGTCGCGCTGCGTTGACGCTTGGACTCAAAGATGCTTGGGCGGCTGCGGCTGCAACTGCGGCTGCGGCAGAGCAAGCTCCAAGACTCTGCAGACTATTCCGGCCCTGCGCTCGGTTGAACAGGAGGTCCGGCTCGTCTCCAAATTTCGTTGATGGTTTAGACTGATCTGTTTAATGCAAACGTAAGCAAGCCACAAAATTAAATTAATATTAGTTATTGATAGAATTTTTTTAAAAATTTATTTTTGAATATTTTTTTCTAAATTGGTTTTCCTGTTAATCTGAACCTATTCAAGAGTCAACTTTGGTAGTCCTTCGAGTTTCTTTCTTATAAATTTTCCTGTGATTAATATATTTTTTTAATAACTTTTTTCTTGTCCCGATTATATCGTAAAGCTAGCAAAAATAGAGTTCTTGTATCTATAAATTTTTTATTTTTTTTCAAAGGATAATATCCTTTATATCTTAACATTGCGGAAAACAACATTTTATCAGCATCTGACTAATGACTAATGACTAATGACCAATGAGCACAATGAGTCGTTCATAAAATTCTTGTTTTTAAACCAGGAACATTAAAAATTGAATATTATTCATTCTTTGAACATCCTTTTAGATAATCTGTCACAATTACCTGAGTTTAAGTGAAATAATATTACTCAGCACTAATTATTACTTTGTGAATAATGTAATAATTACTCAAAAAAAGAATTTACGTGTCATCTTTATAAGAAAACTTTTGAGTACAGTCCTCAATTAAAAAGCCTGCCAAGTCATTTGCCCTTTTCTTCTTCTGGGTTTTCTCAACAATTTGGCCAAATCAATGTCGGACAATCTTTGCTGCCTGCGTACAGGTAGCACAGGTAGATCAGAGTCATGACCCTTGAACTCCACTAATTACTACTTCGCTTGTTTTTCGCCCGTTTTCTCCTTGGCACAACTGTACGGACGTCAATCATAATCATCTCAGGCTGATAAAAAATTGCCAACCAAACAAGTAAATCGCTTATCAAGCGCGACAGGAAACACGACGGGGCACCCTAATAATAATAAGTACATTTGTTTAAGTACATACTATTATTGTGTATGTACGTAATACGTAGTTAGTATATGCAATTGCCCTCAACTGCTGATAAAGCGCGGCCCAGCTGATTAGGTGACGAGTTTATAAAACACACCACTTGGAAACTAAGCGGCGGAGCAGCAGCAGCAGCAGCAGCTGGTGCCATGTGAGTTTACGGCGGGGAGCACGGGCACGGGTGCCACGCACACGGGGAGCAAGGCACGTGTCTAGGCCATGTGAGGCCGCCCCCTCGAGTCGGGCAAGCGAGAGTTGATTTGCAGGCAGGGTTCAACGTCATCCTGCTCTCGTCTAATTCATTCGAAGGCTGTTTTATTTTTTTTATTTTGATTTGTTAAGGCGTATATTGCGTCACAGTTTTTTTCTTTGTTTGTAAAACACATGAGTCAAAATTGCTATCTGGAATTTAATGAATTAACGCCTTTCTTTTAATGCACATTCGCAATTACAAATGAATCATCATTTGCTGAGGGGCTATTCGGGTCTCTGTGCTAAAAATAAGAAGTCTGCTAGCATAAAAAGGTGCCCATCAATGATTTCCAAACTGTTAACAGTTTTACAGTCATTTTGTTAAGCTTTCAGTTAACTATTCTGAAAATTGTTCAAAAGAAAAGTCTAAAAATGAGAAAACCAGAGTCTTAAATTGTTCAGCTCTAGATATTGTTAATCGAAAGGTGCACATCAATGACTCCCAAACTGTGAACAGTTTCACAGTCACTTCGTTTAGCTTTCAGTTAACTATTCTGTAAGCTTTTCTAAAGAAAAGTCTAAAAATAAGAAAACCAGAGTCTTAAATTGTTCAGCTCTAGATAGTGTTAATCGAAAGGTGCCCATCAATGACTCCCAAACTGTTGACAGTCACTTCGTTTAGCTTTCAGTTAACTATTCTGTAAATTGTTGTCTAAAAAATAAGAAAACAAGACTCTAAAATTGTTCAACTGCACATCAATGGCTGCCAAACAGTTTTAAAGTCATTCTGTTTAGCTTTCAATAAGCTATTTCTTAATCAGTCCAGCTACAAGTTATTACAGTTCAGCTGTTGAATGTTCTAGTAGATATAGTTGTAGCACTTGTATACCGGGAATGGACATACATATATGTAGTTATAGTTAGGTATATAGTTAAAGCAATTATAAACTTACCCATACAATGGCCTAAGCCCAATAAACAATGTTGCGGTTCTTGTTGTAGTGTAGTGTTTTGTTGTTGTTTTCTTGTGAATGTTCTACACTACACACGCGAGTTTTTGCCTTGTCTCGAATAACAAAATTGAAGGTTCTTCTTTTTTTTTTTTTGATCGATTTGCTGTTTGGGGCCTGCCAGTTGCTCCCAAACTGTATACACTTAGTTGTTTTGTTTTGGTAGTTTTATCAAAAAACCCAAAGAAATGAAAAAAGAACGTAACGCGAACTAAAAAGCAAACAACTTATTGTTGCCAGCCGCTTTTTACAGAATTATTTTCGATTGTGTTCTAATTAGTATTTTGCTTTTTTTATAATGTTTTATTTGCTATTTGTTTTAGCAAATTAGCAGGGGTTTCTTTTTGAGCGTATTGTTGCCTTTCGCTTTTGCCTGTTCAATGCAGGTCAGAGTTTTTTAAGAGTATTGGCGAATTAATCGACATCGAAGTGGATTTTGTTTAACACCTTGTCAGCTTTGATGGTCGCAATATAATCCGTTAAATATGCACTGCACTTTGGCTACTTTCGCACAGATGGCGCTGCGTACTTGTTTGCTCCGAGCTGCTGCTGTTCCGTGGCCTGATCCGTTTGCTGCGAGCGGCGAGATACGACTGAAAATTGAGCTCTTCTCTGGCAACGATTGTTTCGAAGTCGAATGCTGAATGCACACCGTTACGCTGATACGAACGCTCTTATATACACTGGCCGATGCCCGATGCCCGATGGCCGATGGCCGATGGCTGTTGGGCTGTTTGTTGTTGTGGCTGATGAGAGGGTGCCGGATCGCAATTGTTATTGTCTTTGATATCCGGCAAGGGCAGAGCGACGGCGACGGCGACGGCGTTGGCACAGTTTCGCCGCCTCTGCGTTTGCTTCTTAGTTTCTTTTTGTTTTCGCTTTATTCGCAATAAACGGTGCACGGCAGCACGAACAAATATTTCAATTTATGACGCAAAAAAAGCTTGAAAAATATTCCACAAGCCAGTAGCGGAACGAGGGGAAACGACACGAGTGTGTTTAACGCGACGTTTGTTTTGCTACGCACAATCGTGCCAATAATGTTTACAGTTTTGTTTAGTAAACATAAACAATGTGTGAAGAGGTTTCTGTTGTGGACAGCAAATGAGGCTTCTTAAGTGGGATGGGGCACGGTCGGATTTGCGCTTTTGTAGAAAATACAGTTACTGAAAAGAGAGGAAGTCACACAGATTACGCTTAAATATATTAATTTTGAAAAAGCGAGTGTCCAGAAAAAGGCCGCAATTTACTGTGCATTTACATATATTCTATATATATGTGCATATGTATGCATGTGTGTATGTATTTGTGTATGTTAATTGTGTAAAAGTCCATTGGAGAATGAGTTCACAAATAGATACAGAGTGAGAGCTCGCTTTTAATGGTGAAATCTTTCGTATACTCTGATTGCCCGAATTTGTTTACTCATTTGTTTATTTACTTTTTTTGATGTTGTTGAAGCTCTTATCTTAATATATGTACAAATATACCGTTGTGTACAGTACAATGCGTATTACCGCAGTTAGACGAGTCTACATATTTGATTTATGCATTTGCATACTTTATCGGGCATTGTTTATTACACTCACTTGCTTGAGTGGAAATTTATTGCGCCTGCTTTTATGGCGATTATCTAATCAATGGCAAGCCAAGCCGAATGTTGAAAACAATGCCTAATGCTCAGATTTATATTTAGTTGCCCACATATAGCCCTTTATCGTGCCATCATGCTCTATGTTCATCTGCAATATTTATTATATGGCCGCCATATAGTTGGGTTGCTTTTGCGTCGTAGCGAAAATCGGCCTGTGCTCGAAAAGTTGTTAAAACCTAGCAAGACATTTGCTGAGCAATTCAAAACCAAGCAGTGGGCATAAACATAAATGAATGTTTACAACAATTGCAAATATGCATGCATGCCCAAGGTCGTCGGGCGAGCATATAGTATATTATTTTAAAATACATTTGTACAAGAAATATTTGCCAAGAGAGTGAAATCAACATTTGAGGGCACATTTAGCATAAACCAGCTAAAAATTCATAAACTAACGAATTGATTTCATTGAATAACTAATTAATGCCGCGTTCCAAGCTAAGAGCGACAATTTATGAGTCTGGCCAAATAATTTCGATAATTTCGAACAGCCTCACATAAAGCATATGCCGCGTGACCCGGAAGCCTACGAGCGAGGAGTCGCATATCGAAATTGGATTAGCTGTGCGAGTCATAAAAATCCTTCATTGACGTCACGACGATATCTGAGCCTAATGTGGGGACAATGACTGTAACCTTCGACAGTGGCTGTCAGAATGTAATGTCCACGTCAACTACTGTTGTTCTGTTGTTCATGGAACTAGTTCAATGTCGACACTCAACGACTGACGTCATCAAGACAAAATTAAAGATTGAAGCCGGCCGGTGCGTAAGCTTGCGTAAGAAGAACCCCACCCAACCCTCCTCCCCCCCATCGTAATATATATGTATGTATGTATGTATGTATGTGTGTGCACATGTTCATTACACACATTTTTCCAATGACCGTCGCGTTGTGTGCCATGTGCCACGTGCTGCTCCACGTATTTGTAAACAATTTTGACCGCGTGCTGCAAGTGTTGGTGCTCTATTCGTCCGTTTGTCCGCCTGGTTTTCGTTTTTACTATCAAAACATTGCGTGCTGAAGGATTCAGTGCGCAGGCTCGTGAAGTCTGTGGAATTTCCAGTTGAATATAATGGAAAATTTTTGCTTTTGGTCTGTAACAAAGGCAAGGAAAATGGAACGACGACTGGGAGTGCAATGATTCGCTACAGTGACGTCCTAAAAAAAAAGCACTGCGGTTGCTGTTGAACATTATATAGAAAACTTGAAATCGTTTACCTTTAACAGAAGCAACAATTAATATACATAGTTGGTTTTCTATTACTATTATTTAAAATGCACATATATGCAAACTTTTCAAAATTTTGTTTTTAAGAACATGGCATTTCTACCATGCTCCTCATCAACAGTTCTATAGGAAGAATTGGTAGACATAAGAGGTATTTGAATGGAAAATTTTCCTGTTATTTTGACTACAACATATATAACTCTTTCTTGTTTACTTAGCATGTAATATAAAAAATATTTAAATGATTAACTATTATTCTTTAGTTATGAACTTCAAAAACAGAAAAGCCTTTCCTTCATTACACAATTGGAGAGAAAAAGGAAACTTTAACGCTCTGTTCCACAATGCCTTTTATCTAGCTGTATACACAATCGTTTGCCACTACTGTAGCCAAGCCCAGGCCCCACAGATGTTTTTGCGCATTTCTATTTGGGGGGTTTTCTTTGTTGTCTACTTGTTGTTGTTGTCATTTCGAGGGTTATGCTTGGGGTTGTTGTTGCCAATGTGCTTTTCATGGCGAAATTACAAAATCGATAAGAACAGCGAAAACAATGGGCGCCTGCCGGGGAGAACTTGGGATTGGGGGGGAATGCAGATGATGATAATAGGTTATTTAAAATGAGAAACTTACCCGTTATTACACACACGCACACACAGAGCCACACACGGCACGCAGACGGACGCCGCCTGTGGGGGGGTGGGGGGAGAAGCGTTTGGCGCTGAGCTTAGAACTTTTTACTCCAATTGTAGGAACCGTTGTAGAAAAATAAAATCAATATAATTATTTTGGTGTGCATATTGGGAACAGTCATGGCACAAGGTATCCTTTATAAGGCACAGTTGCACTAGTCTATCGATATTAATACTATTATACTATTATGTTATGAAATATGTATTCCCTTAGTTTTTGTGCCTTTTGCGTTTGTGTGGCATTTAAAAAGTTACGAAATCTTTGCAACACTCGGAAACAAGCTACACTGAAGGTAAAACGAGTGCGTAGTTTGAATCGTTCGCGTCTTTGACTGTAATTGTTTTGATCCTGCGTCTTATACAGGCACTCAAAGTTTATTTTTTTAAAGAAATTATTTATTTATCCTGTCTGTGAGACACGCTCTTGGTGCCCAACTGCTGTGTTTGATGTGGAAAATTCGACTGTCTGAAACAGGCAGCCGCAGCAACTGAGTCACCAACCGAGTCTCTAACAGTTCCAGGCCACTTCCAGTGCCTTTCCAGTGGACTCTGAATTGGCTTTGCGCTTGCAGCAATGCAGTGCCCAATGTTTGCGTCACCAACACAAGGCTCCACATGCGTGACACACACTCATTGCCAAATTGCATTTACGAATTGCTCATCAATCAATATACATATATAGAACTGACTGACAGACGGACGGACAGACTGATTGATGCTCGACGCGCAGCCCGAACCGCAAAAGCGGAGTAGAATTTTATGTGAAGTCGAAATTGTGCACAGTTGCAGGAAAACAGTTGCGTGATCCTTTTTAGCTTAACCATCGATCGAGCTCTATACAACACTGGAAAAAATATCGATAGACTTTCGATTAACATAGTTTAAACGGTTATAACCGTTGGCGGGATATCAAATCAGTTTTCAGTTAAAAACCATGTTAGTTTTCCCACGGGTGGATAGTGGGTGGCAAAGGGATATCTAAAGTTGGTTCAGGGTCGTGTAATATTTATTTATTATATTTATAGTATTTAATACATTACAACTAAAATAAAGTTTACTTCTTTAAAATATCTTGGAAATTTAAATCAATCATTTAACATCTAAAACCGTACAGCGATCCCGTAAGCATCCTTTCAACTGAGTTTATAGTAGGAGACACCTTTGGACATGTGACTCAACAATATGTTGTGCTTTTGAAAACAATGTCAAAGCTGATACACAACATAGTGGGAATTATACTAATGGTAATTGTGGTAATCCTGGCTCACCCACTGCCCTGCCGGGCAAATAGTGCTCACTACTATGGCAAATCCCATGGGCCTCGTCGCTATGAGTACGCCAAGAAACATCACGCTCTCCTAAGAACGCAGCCAAACGCTTCGCCTGTGCACGATATGGAAGCCAATGATCCCACCGAGCTCTTTGAGAAGCTGGACAAATTTGATTTCAAGGCGAATGGTAGAAATGATGCTGCAAGGCGATTGCAGTACGCCAAACAGAAAGAGAGACTTGTCCATTGGCTGAACCAGAACAACGGCAGCAGGCGGGAGCAGAAGGAGGAGCTGCTTTTGGCTGCGAATCGGGAAAATGCCCGTCAGTTGGAGCAGCAACAGCGCCGCATTGAACGCATTCAGAATGAGGCCGCGGATCGGGAGTTCGAGCGCATGATGAAGATGAAGTTTCACCAGGATAGCACGGAGCAAGCTTTGCCGGTGCATCAGCCTCTCAAAGGTGCTGCCAAGAAAGACGGGACCAAAAAGAGCGTGCCCTCCAAGTTTCTTATGTTGTGCAAGAAGCCGAAGCCGAAAAGCAAATGCAAAAAGCCAATGCTTACGACCACCACGGAGCGGCCCTCTACAGAATTGAGCATACCGTGTAGGCCGACTTGCCCTGCCTCAACTATTAAGAATACGGGTCAGGGTAAAGGTCACCAGAAACCGCAGGTCAAGAGTGCAGAGGCCGATCGTCTACTGCAAATCACAAAGAGCATGAAAATACGTGCGCTTCTTATCCTCAAGTATCTCAATCTCTTGGAAAAGAAGATACTCGACAGACGCAATCCCGCCGGGAATAAGGCACAGCCAACAACAACCGCCAGGCCCACGACTGAGAGTACGACGGAGACGACGCCACCGGCTACGACGGAGAGCACAGCAAGCCCAACAATGGTGCAAACGGAGCCGACGCCGCCGCCAGTCAAGTCTGACCATGGACCAATGGGTGCAGGAAAGAAGCAGGAGCGACTTGATAGGCCCACAGCCATGCCAACAACCCAGTCGCCTTTCAAACATAGTTCCGGCTTCTACTTTGGGTTCCGACCGCCTGGAGAGGAGAACACAAAGGCAAATATTGCGGCAGCGTTGAGAGAAGAGCGCAAGCTGGAACAAAAGGTGCGCGAGGAGCATCAAATGCAGCGCGAAAATATGCGATCGGAAGGCCAAGAGCTCGTACGGCATAGGTCACAAGATAAACGGAAGCGAGCGCGTTACGAGGCAGCTCCACCGGCAGCAGCACGACTGGAACTCATTCTAACCACACCCTCATCCATGCCAATGTGTTATCACCGCTGCGATGCAAATGGAGTCCAGAAGACTCACCTACCAAAACAGCCAGCAGCTGCCATAAAGAGCTCCGCCGATAAGTTTAATCTGGGTAGCAGCCGAAATGAGATGTTGCTTCGTAATAGCTTGGCGCGCCTCCCAATAATAAATTGGAAAAAGGCGGATAGAAACAAGAGAATGAAGAGCAAGCATATGTTAGCCAGCCCAAGACATCAGACTGTCTTGAAAAACTGCCTAAAGCCTCAAATTCAGCGGCATCAGAGATATTATAACCGTCCTAGACATCGAAAGGCTTTTAATAGTCGCAATCTTGCATTAAGCTGATGTATTTTATAATTAATATATTTTCTTATACAAATTGACAAATTCAATTTAAATTTAAATAAGCGTTGCATCTATCGATTATTCTTACATCCTAAAGGGTCACCCTAAATGGTATCGCATAGCAATTCGATGTTTCAGACACAAAAGTGCGATACTTTTGGTCGCATCGATAATTAAGGCTGTCATTCCTATTAGGAACTTTGAAATGCTGCGAAAATCTGAATCTAATTTCCTATTTGAATTTTATTCAAATATTATTATATTCAATATACGCTTATGAATAAGAATTCAATGAACTAAGATTTTTAAATATTCACTCACGAGGAACGATTCGCTGTAACATCGATTGTAACTGAAACTCTATCGATACTATCGATAAGCACGGTTCTCTGACAGCTACAGATTGTACCGCACGCTTTTAAAGACAATTTTATTTTAGTCCAGGTGATTCGTGTTCATGCATATTCGTAAGAAATATTGTGCAAGTTTCGTTTTATGCAAAAAGTGCATACTATCAAAAAGATTTAAATTGCACAGTTCAATACTATAATTAATATTTAAGAAAGTTGGTAAGTGTCTGAAATTATAGTTTTGTATGTTTATACATGTGGACAGAAAATTATGTGCCAATAACAGCAATATGTGTTAGAAAATACGATGGCGGGCAAATAAGCGAAGTTGAAACATAATATGTTTACGCTTGCATACATATGCATGCACACATATTGACACACAGTCAAATAAACAAAGCTCGAGTTAGTGCTCCTTATGGTTCTCCAATTTCAGAAATTGACAGGCATAAATTGTGTGAAAGGCTTTTCGAAAGAATCAAACCACGGCCGACAAAATAAAATATCTTGTTGATATTTTTGTTATTTCAAGTGAAAGACATGATAAACAATAGAAATGAAAAACTAGCATGACACTTGCAAGCTAAATTAATTAACCAAGATTGAAGCAAAACATTCTCCATTTCCAATCGCCTACTTCGGATAGGTAAAAATGATCTCGCTTTGCGCCCTCGCGTCGCGTTGTTTTGTTTTTGCTTTGCTTTTGATTTTCTTTTTGGCGCTCGCTCTCAACTGTTGCCTCCGTTATCTGCGCCGCGTTCATTGTGCCCAAATTCTTAATTGCGAATTTTAACGCTTTGCTCGCATAGTTGTTGTGGGTGGGGTTGGCATTTCACAGTGCTTTATCGTATTTGATCGCCTGATTGGCATGTACGTGTGTATGTGTGTGTGTGTGTTAGTGCTTGTATTGACGGTATTTTTGCATTACTCTCTTTGCAGTCGCAATGTCTTTGGAGCAAGACGAAGAGAAGATACTGAAGGATGTCACCATTGTGGTGCGCTCGTTAATAACTTCACTCAAGCCGCCGGTCAGCTTGCGTACCATTGAGCGCGACTACATGAAAGAAGAACATGCGCCTATACCTTTTCGCAGCCTAGGCTATCGCAGTACCCTGGAATTATTGGAGGACACGAATGCATTCAGTTTTCAGAAAATCGGAGACGAAGTGAGTGACTTAGCTGTCGACCTCCCCCACAACGGGCGCAACACTTGCATTCTTGTGCTCATTCACTCGCTCTCGCGCGCTCTCCCTCTCTGAAATTAACAGCTTTTGGGTGCCTCGGTTGAGCTTTCGGCAGCGCCTGCCCGCAATAGCGCTCACTTTGGTCTCAGTAAGTTTCGTGGCGTCAACGCGAGCGGTGCTGTCTGCGAGCTTGTGTGCTGTCTCTGTGTGTGTGTGTTGTGTGCTGTACGGGGCCTGGCTTGCCACAAAGAGGCAACGTGTCAACGTAGCGTCGCTCATTCAAAGTGTAAACAATGTTACTTGTTTATTATTTCGGTCTTTCTATAAGCTTTTGTGTGTGCTGCTGTGCTGAATAAGCGCTTTTTATAAATGCAGCACACACAAAAAATAGCCGCAACGATACATACTTTATGTGCAAAGCAAAAAAAAAATGACAGCCAATTTAAACTTTTTGGCTGTCCGTCTTCTGCTCTCTTTCTCTCGCACTCGCCCCGTTTGTATATGTGTGTGTGTGTGTGTGTTTCGCTTTGGTGAAAGTAATCAAAAATGTTGTTGCTGTTGTAGGAAGCGGAAAGGCGCGTCACATTGCACTTTAATTTTTCATTCTACAGCTGTTGTTGTTGTTGCTCGCACTTGTTATAGTTTATTTTGAAATGCAGGCATTTATGCATTTGTTTAAATGTCAAATGTACATTGTGGTTGTTGTTGCTGCTGCGCTTATCAGAATGCCGCCTTCGTCTCTGCTCCAGTTCGCATTCTTCTTCTTCTTCCGCGCAGCTCTCCCACGCCCAGCTGGCCTGATTTGCACTCAAGCGACGGCTGCCCAGTGGGTGGGCGGGGCGTCCGTCCGTGCATGAAAAAATCCAATGCATGGGCAAATCAATAACGCATCTCACATACTAGATTCAGTTGCAAGAAATATCTAAAATTTATAGCTGAAAACAAATGAAATAAATACTATTCGGCAGCAAGCTCCTCCTTTGTAAATATTAAAACATTATTGTAATAATGCCAGCTTTCGAGCACTCATAATTGCATCTATTTCCATTTATGTTAGGCAGTATGAAAATAATGCGAATCGAGTGACTAATTGTTTATTTAACGCCAGCTTTCACTGCCGATCGTAAGTTATTTCACGTTAAACCATGGCATTTGTATGTGCCTTATCACGTCCAGAGCTACTCTTGGCAATATATTTTCCAGGCAACACAGTGAAAACAATGTGAATCACTTTAAAGTGGGAGTGGAATCTAAAGTGCGAGAGCATTGCGGCCTCAACTTGTGCTAATTAAAGAAATGAAATTGTATTAACATTAAAGTCGAACTTAAGTAACGCCTTGTTTATTCTTACAGATCTTTGTCAGCGCCAAGCCTAACCCCAAGTCAGCGCACATTGCTTCTATGGTGCGCTGCCAAAAGTCAAGCAAGACCAAGTCGAATAACACACGACCGCCAGCAGGAACATTGCGTGTAACCATACAAACAGCACCAAATCACGGCAGAACTGTTGCAAGCAACTGCTACTACAACGCCAATACCTCGCAGCTGCAACAGAAGCAAAGGTTGCAGCAACTAACTCAACAACAGGCTCAACAGCAAAGGGCTCAGTTTCAGGCCCAGCAACAGGCTCAGCAGCAAAGAGCTCAACAACAGGCTCAACAGCAGGCACAGCAAAGAGCTCAGTTCCAGGCTCAACAACAGGCCCAACAGCAGGCTCAACAGCAGGCTCATCAGCAGGCTCATCAGCAGGCTCAGCAGAGGGCCCAGCAACGAGCTCAGCAACAGGCTCAGAAGGCACAGCAACAGACGCAGCAAGAGGAACTGCTGCGCCTTCGCGCGGAGCTTGGGCAGGAGCTAGAACGTTTGCGTCTGCAACAGGACGAGCAGCTAAGCCACGAGCGTGAAATACAGCGTCGCCAGGCGGAGTTGCGGGAGGAGCAACGGCAGCAGAAAGTGCTGCTACAGGAGCAGCAGGAGAAAATCGAGAAACAGATCAAACAGCTGCAGGAGCAGCACGAACGCGGGCTTCAGGCACAGGCGCTTACTATTGAAAAACTGCAAGAGGATCGCCTGGAGCTGCAGCGTCAGTTGAAGACGCAGGAGCTACAACATCGACAGCAGCGCGAACAGGAAGCTGCTGCAGCGTTAGCCAAGCAAGTGCAACAAAAACGCCAACAAGACGAAGCAACAACGATTGCGCGGGAAAAACTCGCTGAACTGCACAAAGAACAAGAAAAAGAAGAAGCACTCAAGTCAAGTCACAGCTCAACGCCGCCAAGATCTCCACCGTCAAGCTCTGCAATCTCGCGAAAGATTCGCCCGCTTCGTAGCGCCCTGCCAGCACCAAACTCTACTCTGCCAGCTGATATGAATGGTAACGCAACTGGAACTGGTGGCAATGCCGGGCCAGCCGCCCGCAAGCCGCACTTGCGTCCCATTTTGGGCAATAGTGCGTCTCAGCGACCGGCTGCAGTGAGACAACCGGCAGCAGAGACAACGCCAGCTGGCGCTCTAAACAAACGGCCGCCGCTGGCACGCGCACAGTATCCGGGATCTCGTTGCACTGGCACCGGACTCTCTGTCAACTATAGACTGAAACAGCAGCAGACGGCAGCAGCAGCTGCTGCTGCAGCAGGAGCAGCGTCTCCAACCGCCGGACAGCTGATAACTCCCCCCGACTCGCCAGAGAATGCAGCCAGCAACAAGACCCCAGCCGCCCCATCTACAGGTCATCATCAGGCGGATTTCAATGTGCAGCAGCCTCAGCTGCCGGTGAGTGACTCATGAAATCGACCTAATCCAACTCCGACAACTGTTTGTTTACCGTCGTCTTTCATCCAATACAGATTCAGCCCGTGCGCCTGGATGTAAACTTTAAATTCGATCCGGCCTACGATGCGATCTCTTCGCTGAAACAATATTGTGTCGCACTGGGCTATGCGCCGCCAGAGTACGAGTTCTATAATGCAAACAAGACGAACAGGCTCCACTGCAAGGTGCGCATTGGCGAGAGCATCTACACCAGCTACCCTGAGGAGCATTTCGATGAGGGGGCGGCCAGGCAGCGCGCCTCTGAGGTAGCCATTGAACGTCTGCAGGTGCTGGAATCGCGCAAGCAGTTGTCAATTCTAAGCGATAACGAATTTCTTGAGGGCCTCTACCAGGAGCTGATCAAGCATCCGCACGGTATTGTTAGCCACAAGCTGCCCGAGTGGTACGAGGCGTCGGTGAAGCGGCAGGTGCCCAATAACTGGTGGACCCTGATCAACGTTTCGCCCAAAATGCGCATCGAGAGCAGCGTCAATACGCACATTGTGTTTGCCAACACAGCCGCAGGCAGTCCGATCCTGCAGCCGAACGTGGGCCCAACAGGGATGCCGGAGCTGCAGCTGCCCTGGACGGATGGCCAGCAGGACTGGAGCATGTACATCACACACTGCGACAACACCACCCACGTGTGGGCGCGCCTGATCGAGCAGAGCGCACAGTTCGAGAAGCTCACCGAGCAGCTGAACGCGCACATGTCCCGCCTGCAGAACCGCCAGCCAGTGCAGCAGCAGCCCTTTGAGCACCAAATCTATGCAGTGGAGGTCAGCGAGAATTGGAATCGTGTGCGTGTCATGTCGCTAGATGCGGAGCAGCGTCAGTGCAGCTGTCATTTTGTGGACTTTGGCGACGAGGTGGTCTTCAAATATGATGCACTATACGTGTGTCCCTCACAATTCCTGACGCTGCCCGCTCAAGCCGTGTGCCTCAGCATGTATGCACTCGACAAGTTCGAGGAGCATCCGCATGCGTTGCCTGTGCTGGCCAAGGAGCTGGCCGGGCACAGCGTTGTGACCCGCATCATCACCAGCGAGGCGCAGTTTCATCAATCGGGTGGACTTGCTCAGGGCGTGCTCGTGCCGCAGGAAGTGTCGACTGAGGAGAATGGCTATGCCCAAGCGGGCACGCGACGCGCGTGCATCGTTGGCACCTTCTATGACACCTCCACGGCCGAGGATATACACCTCAACGATTTGGTGGCCAATCAGATAATACGCAACACGCCCGCACCGATGCTGAAGCTTGACCAGAAACCCAACCAAGTGCTCGTCTCGCACGTGAACGATGTGGGCGATCTGATGGTGCAGCTGCCCAACGAAGATCTCAAATTTGTACAGCGCAGCATTGCCAAGATTATGAGCGACAGCAGCGAACAGCATCGCGTACGCTTTTCGGATCTGCTGCACGACCAGCTCGTCTGCGTATGCGACGAGCCCACAGACGGGGCCAAGCAATGGTATCGTGGCATGCTCACTGCCAAGCCCAAGAGTCCCGAGGAGGAGGTCTTCGATGTGTATTACGTGGACGACGGCAGATTGCGCAAGACGCACATCTCAAATATCTATCGTCTCGAGGCAAACAATCTGGCGCTGGCCTCCTATCCGGCTCAAGCGCTGCGGGTGCGCCTGCACGATGTGCCGCCCATTGATAACCAGATGGTGGGACTGCTCCGCAGACTGCTGTCGCCCCAAACGCCAGTTTTGGTAAGTGAAGAAACCTACTTGACTTGTTAATATCAAATTATAACTCTCTGGTTCATCGGCAGCTGAAGGTAATGGAGGGCGCCAATGATAAGCTGCCCATGGTCACCATTCACGCGCGCGGCACGGACAGCTTGTATGTGTGCTTGAACAGTGCGATTCGCGTCGAGCATGAGGTGCAGAGGTAAGTTGAGAACTGTTCGCTTCACTCATACAAATCAATCATACGACACGACACCTGCACACACTCGCACACACACACAAACACGCACAAAATGTACAAACTGTTGCTGTTTTGCTCTTCTGTGGTTTAATGATAGTTTCTAATTAGTGCTTTCAATAAACTGGACCTGACATGAAACTATCGCTACAAAATTATCTCAGCATTAACGACTCCTTCAACTCACAGCATCCCGTAAGCTAACCTTCGTTCGATCGCTCACCAAGTGCTTAGTTCTAAGAATCATTATCCATCATTTGTACATAGTTATATAAACAAAAAAAGGGAGACAGAAATACATGCATTGGATATGTGTATTAACAATTGTATTGCCAAAAGTCAAAATTGAGTTTTTCATATGATACTATGTGTGTTACCTCATTAAATCCATTCCTACACCAACCCACTCCCACCTTCCACTTCCAACTACTATTCCCTTTGCTACCCTGCCCATGTCTATAGCACGACGCGGCCGGAACCGTTCGATGACGGCGGCTTGCACTTTAGTCCAAGCGGTCAGCTGATTCGCCGCAGCAGCTTCAGCTCCACGGTGTCCAGCCAGAGCAGCTGCAGCGATCAGCCGACAGCAGTTGGCATCACCTCGCCTCCAAGCACGCCCGTCAAGGCGAAGGTCGCTCTTCTGCCCATGCTCAAGGAATACGAGGCCATACCAGCTCTAGGCGCCTATTTTGAGGTGCGTGTAGCGCTCTCTGTGAATCCTGGTCGTTTTGCGGTAAGTGAAGAGTCCTAATGCTCTCCCGTCCATAGCTAATCACTTCCGACTTCCAACACAGGTGCAACCGTACAAGTGCTACAATCAGCTGCAGCGTATGATGAAGGAGCTGCAGACCCATTGCAAAAGCCCCTCAGCTCAGAGTGTGGAACTGGCGCAGCTGACCATTGGTCAGGCCTATGCCGCGGCAGACGGCGATGGCGTCTATCATCGGTGAGGCTGCTCGAGGATTACTGGCCATAGCAAGAATACAGTTTTTCCTCTTATCTTATACTCTTCGCAGCGTAAATATTCGCAATATTTTCGATGAAATGATACACGTGCGCTATGTGGACGCAGGCGACGATGGCGTTGTGCGCTGCAATCAACTGTTGCAGCTAACGCCCGAGTTCCGCGAGCTGCCCATGATGGCTCTGCCGGCACAGCTTCATGGTGCGTAACACAAACATAATATTTTGAATACAAACTCTAATTAACAATTTGTTCAGGTATTCAATTGGAGGGCATCGACTGGACACAGGAGAATTGTGTGCGGTTCCGAAAGCTGACGTTGGGCCAGAAATTCATTGGGATTGTGAGGCGCGTTGACAAGCTAAAAGATAATCGACGCGCGCTCAGCCTAGAGCTGATTGATACCTCAACACCGCAGGATATTAAAGTGCACGAGACTCTAATAAGCGAGAAACATGCGCTAGCTGCTCCATAACCCCATAACCTAAACGATCTTCCTTGATGGAAGTAGTGAATTTACGACTCATTTGTTTTGTTTACGTTTATTTGTTTAAATTATGTGGCCGACAGTTATTACAAACATATACACATATTTATGAGCCGACATTCCGCGTCTAACCTAAGATATACATCTATATATATTACCATGTTTTACTCTGTTGTATTCAAGCAAAGCGCAACAATAAATTATGATTTTTGCTACCGAGAGAACGGATGCACTTGGTTCGCCGACTTGATGTTGGTCTTCACCGCCGACGGAGCCTTGCCCAGCTGCTGTTGCACATTGCCCGGACTCATGGATGGCCCGCCCATGGGCGGCGTGGGACCGCGAATCGATGGAGGCACCATCATGCCAGGTCCCGGTCCTGGTCCGTAGTTCGCTTTGTATTGCAGACCTTTGCCCATGCCAACTGTCGCCACCAGCAGCTGTGTGTCCGCCATGCTGCTTGTCTGTTGTATGCCTGTACGTGAGCTGGACTCGATCTCCCACTCTTCGCGCGCTTTGCTCACCATGTCCAATACGTGAGACACGACCTTATTGTACTGTGTAACCTGCTTCATGGCCGCGTCGTTGGTTAGGTTTGCCGCCTTCTGTTCGTTCTGCTGCATCTTCTGCTCTGTAATGGGATCGGGTCGTGTGCGCAGATAGTCGGGCACTATGTCATGCGAAAAGACCGGCACACGACCTTCCGTGATGTTGACCAGCGTTTCGTCGCGATCCATGGAAACGAGCAGCGGCAGCACGGTGCGATTTCGTAACGGTGGACACTGCTCCTTGGCCAAGATCTTAGTCAGACCCGTTAGATGGCTTGAAATGATGGCAAAGTTATCCAGGAACGTTGGCCAATTGATGTCCATGTACTCCATTTCCAGTTTCTGTATCATAGAGAGTACCGCCAACTTCAGATCGGTAAGACGCTGCACGACCGCATCTAGCGTCATTTCAAAATGTTTTTCTTCGCGCTGCATGTTTTGTTTGTGGCAATATTATCAAATAAAGTTTATGCTTTCGGCCAACAGCAAATATTTCCGAGGCGTTTCACAGCTGTCGTGTGGCTTACCGATAGTATATCGATTAGTCAGTATTTAAATACTGACTTACGATATTTGCAATTGTTAGCGATACTACTGATATCGATGACACTCAGCTATCGTTTCGTGCCAAATTTGTAAACATATCAGTCACATCAGCAGAAATTGAGATTCTTATTGCGCAGCACAACGACAGCCGCGTCGTTATTAATAATAATTAATATAGATCTTATAGAAAGTGTAACAATATAGTTAGTTCAAATTTATTGTGTTGAAAGGTATTATAGTTTTGAATAGAAGGACTCGTGCACCACCATGCCCGACTGAATGTCGCCCAGTGATTGGCAGCCGGTCAATTTCATTGTGATTTCAAAATCGTTTCTTAATACACCCAGCAATTGCTCGACGCCGCGTTGTCCATTATAGGCCAGACCGTAGACTGCCGGGCGGCCAATAAAAACGGTTTTGGCCCCCAGGGCCAATGCTTTGAAAATGTCATTTCCCTGCATAATGCCGCCGTCTAGCATGACAACCAGATCGTTGCCGACAGCTTTCACTACCTCGGGCAGTGCCTCAATTGAGGCTGGCACCGTGTCAATTTGGCGGGCGCCATGATTGGAGACAATTACCCCAGCGCAGCCAAATTCGCGCGCCAAAACGGCATCTTCTGCGGTCAGCACGCCCTTGGCAATGATGGGCAGGTGGGTCAGCTGCTTCAGCCAGTTGATGTCCTTCCAGGTGATGCTGGCATCGAATTGGCTGGCCACGTATTCATTAATGCCGGAGCCACCCATTGTGACCACACCATTCGCCTGCTCGCCCTGAAAGTTGGCCAGGCTCAAGTGCGGCGGCAGACTGAATTTGTTGCGCACATCGGAGCGCCGGTGCCCAAAAACGGGAGCATCTACAGTCAGAACCAAAGCCTTGAAATTGGCCTTTTCGGCGCGCCGAACTAGCTTCTCGGTAAGTGAGCTGCAAATAAAAATGTCCTTCATTTTATCCCTCACTAGGGTGAGAAGTTGAATCCCACCGATCTTTGTAGATGTAGAGCTGAAACCATTTGCAGGTATCCGGCGCCCCGGCCGACAAGTCCTCCAGCGATGTGGTGGAAAGTGTGCTCAAAATGAATATGGAACCAGCTTTGCCCGCGGCCCGTGCATTGCCGATTTCACCATCCGGGTGCGCCATCTTCTGCATCGCGGTCGGGGCAATGCCCAGCGGCCATTTGAGCTGGTGTCCTAGGATCTTACAGCCCAGATCTAGCTGTGAGACGTCGCGTAGAAAACGTGGACGCAGACGCAATCTGCCGATAAAGCAAGAGCTAGAAATGACCTAAACTCTGGGCAAGCACAAAACCTTTTAAAAGCCTCGCGATTCAGTCCAAGCGTGAACTGTTCTCCTGCCCCGCTTTTGTAATAATCCAATGCATTCTTCTCCAGCTGGCTGCTAGCCTTGCGCTCAAAGTCCTCGACACAAACCAACTCCATGTCGCTGAGTAAATTATGTAACAAATTATTATACGGACCAGATTTTGTTGCCGGCAGTGCTCGCTGCTCTCGCTCGACTGAATCTCATTTCTTCTAATCTTAGTAGCTGATAACTGCAAGCTATACTAGGCATTTCAGGTCGAGCAGAGATCTGTGTAGCTCGCGGAGATGAAAAAAAATAAACAAAATAAAAACAAGATCGGTTATCTTCGACGCGCGGGGGAAAAATACTCTTGCAAACATGTGGCTTAGACATGATTTAATACGAAAACTTTATATGCAAAAGAGTTCTTCTACAAACGATATATCTATCTATCTATAGTATCTATATACTATATCCTATCACACAGATATATATCAGAGAGTAGTTACACGTTTCATGAAATAATTACAGTACCCCCGGCAAGGGTGTTATAAATAAATAAATAGACAAGACAATCAGACAGTCCTATCTTGCACTGATAAGCCCTATATGAATATTTAAATTTGATTCTCATTTTAGCTGAAGATCTTTGTCAAGGTTGAAAAGTACGAACTAAAGCGCAAATTAAATTATTTGGTTTTGCTCTAATACTATTGCGATAATTTAGCTTTGTCTGGTTCATTCTTTTCAAGAAACATTATAATTGCATTAAGATATTTACAAATTACAAACAAACTCAACATTAAACTCAAAAATAATAAATAAATTAAAAATCAAACACTATACGTTTCCTTTAGGTTCCTGAAATATTCCAAATCAGTTTGGCTGATTGAAGGCACGAATTTGTTGAAGGATGTCGTGAAGTCCTCCGACTCAACGATAATGTGCTCGGCACTTAGCTCCTTGGCCGACAGCCCGCAGCTCAAATGCTTGCTTATGATTCGCCTTACCGCCGAGAGCCAAGCATTGGAGCATATCGAGTACAGGTCCGCGCCGCTCATTTCGTTCTTCAGACGCTCGGCAATCTCGGCCAAGTCCACGTCGCCGGCCAGTTTAAAGCGCTGTGTTTGTGCTCGCAAAACCGCCGCCTTGTCATCGGGCGTAGAACAGGGGCCGACATAGAAGAGTTTGTCAAAGCGGCCGGGTCGCAGCAGGGCGGGATCAATTAGATCCGGACGATTTGTGGCAGCCAGTATGAAAATGGGCTTTGTGGCGTCTCCGTTGCACATGCCGTCCATCTCAGCCAGCAGCTGTGATACCACGCGATCCATGACGCCGCCCGAGTCACCAGCCACACCTCTATTCGGTGCCAACGAGTCCAGCTCGTCCAAAAACAGAACACATGGCGCTGCTGAGCGGGCGCGCGTAAATACTTCACGCACATTCTGCTCGCTCTGTCCCACATACATGTTGAGCAGCTCGGGGCCCTGAACGGAAAGAAAGCTTAGATTGCATTCGGTAGCCACCGCCTTGGCGACCAGAGTTTTTCCAGTGCCTGGTGGTCCGTACAGCAGTATGCCAGAACGCCGCAAATTCTTTCCCATTAGATGTACGTGTTTCAGCGGCAGACCTATGCTGCTTTGAATTTCATCCTTTAGCTTATATAGACCTCCGATATCGGACCAGTATACCTTCGGCACCTTGGGCGCGCCCAGGCTGTCGGCGAACGAGCTCTGCATATCGTTTAGATTTTTAGAAAAGTGCTCTAGAGTTAGATGGCTTTCTCCATGGGATTGGCGACGCTTAAGTCGCACAGCATTATCGTAGAGCAGCTGCAGATCACCCAACATAAATCCCTGTGACTTAGCTGCAACCTCGTGAAGAGCACTCCTCGTCACGTCCCATTCTGGAGAGAGCCTGTTCATATAGCGGGCTTGCATTTGTAGTGGAAAAAGTGGCAGCTTGGCTAGTGCCTTTTGGTTGTAAATTGCATCGTTAAAGGATTCACGCACGTGCATCCATTTCAGCAGCTCGAATCGCTCTGCTTGGTTGGGTGCTTCAATGCTGATTATCTCCAAGAAAATGCCCTGTATCATCGGTTTTAAATGTTTGTCGCTGGTCAACGCAACAACTACGACAGGATGCTTGCGGTCGCGGGTAAATAATTCCTGGATCTGTACATGAAAGGCAGACAGCAAGCGCAGGTCCTCGTTTCCTTCGTTATCGATGCCGAATATCTGTGAGAAGAGTAAACGAATATTATATGTTGTTCATTATAAGCGTATACCAAATGTAGTTTACCTCAAAGTTGTGGAAGCAGATCAGCAGAGGTTCGCTAACCTGGCTCTTCGCAAATACCGCCTTGAGTTTCATCTCCGTGTGTGATGGCACTTGCGATACAATCTCCGCACAGTCCGCTCCGTACAGGTGCATGCCCAGCTCCTGAGCCACAGCATTGATGAGCTTCGTTTTTCCTGAGCCGCGCTCGCCCTGCAGCAAGAAGACGGGAAATATGTGCTTCGATGATAGACAGGCAGACTGTTTTGGCAAAAATGCATCCAACGAAGAGCGCAGCATTTGATATGGCTTCCTCAAACCACTGGGATAGTTGTCTGCAATTGCACAGCTGTCCAGAATTTGGCGTGGCAGAAAGCTGTGCGCATGTGGCACCTGCACCAGGTTGCTGAAGTTCTTCGCCACGACTGCCTGCAGCTCAAACTCGCTGCCTTTCGCTTCCAGGTGCACACAGCGAAAGTAGACCTCGCGCAAAAAAGCGAAAATCAGATAGTAATGGGCATAGGCTGCGGTGCCCATCAGCTGTGCGTTCACCTCGATGCGGTAGATGTGGCCACGGTGCAGCATGCGTGGCGTATTGAAATAGTTGCTCAGGATAAGCTCGGACACCTCTGGCGGCAGCTCGTGCGGATTGTTGAGCAGATAGACGTGCGCCTTTGTGGCAATAGTCGGTATCGTTTGTTCGTCGCTGAAGCACTCCAGCTGAACCCAGCAATTGTTGCGCTTGTGGTTGCTGGTGCCGCATCGATCCATTAAGTTGCCATAAAAGTTTTCCTAAAGAAACAGAATTAGATTGCAATTTGTGTATATATATATATTTGAAGCGTACCTGCACATATAGACAATTGCTCTGGCACTGTGAGTTCTCTACTGGAAGTATCTGGGCCACTATTGTATATGGCGTGTCCTGCAAGATTTGTTTGACGACCACCTCCGATGTGTCCCAGGAGTGATCAGAGCCAGTGCCAGCGGTTTTAGTGGCCTTTCCGCCTCCACGTACAATTAAATTGACGAAATTCACATCGTCCGATTCAGCGTAGGTGTTGTACACATCCATGCTGGCCAGTATCACATGCTCGGACTTGATCAGCTCGTTCTTGGTCAGCAACTCGTACAGACGGTTGGGCAGGGGCGTCAACAGAAACTTGCCCCTGTAGTATTTGGCGTAACGCCAATATACCGCATATATCAAATAGCCAGGGTAAAAGAACCACGGCCACTTTGGCACAAGCAATTGCACCGCAGAATTATACGCCTCGACCAGCTCCAACATGCGTCCGGTGAAACTGTATCTAGGTTCGCCATCGCCGGCTGCATCACTGTCAATGGACTTCGATGCTTTGGGGGCAAGTTTTTTCTGTGAAGGTCAACAGTTGCAATAGTTATTTATATAGAGCAACATTTAAGGATATATATACATATATATAGAATCAGTCATGCACACAGATATTCCGTTTTATCGAACCTACCACAACAAAATCAACTTCACTCATGGTTCGGAGACATAGAATACAAAGGTTACTTTGGGGCAGGCAAAGTCTGAATGCGTGGGATTGGATCACAGGTACTACATATAGGCACAAAGTTATTCTGAAAATAGCTGTTAATGCTAAATAATGTTAATATATACCGCCACTCTTACAAATTAAAAAAAAAAATATGTTATGGTTACGTACCTTCTTTACAACAACTCTTTTCTTCATGACTTTTAACCTGTTGACGGTCTAAAGTATTTTGAACTGCTTAAAGCTGCACGTTGGAGTTTTAAAACAAAGTTGGCTCAATGGCAAGTTCTATTAAACATTAAATTTTAATATTATGTATGAGATATAAATATTTCTCGCTGTTAGCAATGGTTGAAATTAACCAGTGTTGTGTAATGCAAACGTTCACCTGTGATTTGAAAATATGCAGAAAAATACCAAACTTAGCACTTCGCCCACACTTTATTAGAGTCGATTAACACGAAATCGACCCTGTAAACTTTGCCTAGGTATATCGATATCGATATTACCAAAACAAACACAAACTATAAGAAATTAATTTCGTTTAATAATGAGTTTAGAAGTAACCAATATAAATGGCGGCAATGGCAACGAGAATCCGTCACAGTCGCAGGACAAACGGGAGCTACTATGCTTGCTCAAGCTGCTCAGAAAATATCAACTAAAAGGAACGGAGGAGCTGCTCTGCCAAGAGGCAAATGTGAGCAGTGCAGATCTCGCTAATATCTGTGATGGCGACGTCAAGGCAGTGCTCAGTGCCGCATTGGCCCTGGCTGATGACGACCACAAGCGCCAGTCTACCCAGGCACAAGCATCCACGTCCGTCGAAGCGAAGGCCGTGACCGAAGCAAACGCAGCCGAAGCGTTGGCAAAGTTTATAGGCGACGATGCTTTTGATGCCCAGCATTATGAGCAGGCGTACGAGGAGTTGCGCACGTTTGTGGAGGAATCTTTAGACATTTATAAGCACGAGCTGTCTATGGTCCTTTATCCGATACTGGTGCAAATCTATTTCAAGATTCTTGCCAGCGGGCAGATTGAAAAGGCGCGAGCGTTCATTGAGAAATACAAATCGGATCTCGATGGTTACTATATCGAGGGTCTGTTCAACTTGTTGCTAATATCGAAGCCGGAGGAGCTGCTGGATAACGATCTGGTCTCTGCAATGGAGACGGATAAGTTCGTGATACGCATGTCGCGGGATGCGCATTCGCTGTTCAAGCGTCACATACAGGACCGCAGACAGGAGGTGGTCGCGGACATTGTGTCCAAGTATCTGCATTTTGATACCTACGAGGGCATGGCGCGCAACAAATTGCAGTGCGTGGCAACGGCTGGGTCGCACATTGGCGATGCGAAGCGACAGGACAACAAAATCCGTGTCTACTATGGTCTGCTCAAGGAGGTGGACTTTCAGACGTTGACCACGCCAGCACCGGCACCCGAAGAAGAGGACGATGATCCGGATGCGCCAGATCGACCCAAAAAGAAGAAGCCCAAAAAAGATCCGCTGCTTTCCAAGAAATCGAAATCGGACCCAAATGCACCCGCCATAGATCGCATACCTTTGCCGGAGCTCAAGGATGCAGACAAATTGCTCAAGCTCAAGGCGTTGCGTGAGGCCAGCAAGCGTTTGCCGCTCAGCAAGGATCAGCTGCCCTCTGCCGTGTTCTACACAATACTCAACTCTATGCAGGGGGTCACATGTGCCGAGATATCTGATGATTCCACAATGCTGGCCTGCGGATTTGGCGACTCCACTGTGCGCATCTGGTCGTTGACGCCAGCGAAGCTGCGCGCACTAAAAGAGGCCGATGCGCTGCGTGAACTCGATAAGGAGTCGGCGGACATAAATGCGCGAATGCTTGACGAGCGCAGCGGCGAGATGACGCGCTCCTTCTTGGGGCACACGGGTCCAGTCTATCGCTGTGCCTTTGCGCCCGAGATGAATTTGCTGCTCTCCTGCTCTGAGGACAGCACCATCCGGTTGTGGTCCCTGCTCACCTGGTCATGCGTGGTCACCTATCGCGGCCACGTCTATCCCGTCTGGGATGTGCGATTTGCGCCGCACGGCTACTATTTTGTGTCATGCTCCTATGACAAAACTGCTCGCCTGTGGGCCACCGACTCAAATCAGGCGCTCCGCGTCTTTGTCGGTCACCTTTCGGACGTGGACTGCGTGCAATTTCATCCCAACTCCAATTACGTAGCCACTGGGTCCAGCGATCGCACTGTGCGCCTGTGGGACGCGCTAACAGGCCAGTCTGTGCGCCTCATGACCGGCCATAAGGGTACGGTTAGCTCACTGGCGTTCTCCACTTGCGGCCGTTATTTGGCTTCCGGCTCCGTCGACCACAACATCATCATCTGGGACCTGTCGAACGGCTCCTTGGTCACCACGCTGTTGCGGCACACCAGCACCGTATCCACCATCACATTCAGCCGCGATGGTACAGTGCTGGCCGCCGCCGGACTCGACAACAATCTGACACTGTGGGACTTTCACAAGCTCACCGATGACTATCTGAGCAACCAGATTACAGTGTCGCATCATCAGGATGAAAATGATGAGGACGTTTACCTGTTGCGCACTTTCCCCAGCAAGAACTCGCCATTTGTGACCCTCCACTTCACGCGCCGCAATCTCTTGATGTGCGTCGGCCTGTTCAAGAGCTAGACGCTATATTTCCAATAATATTGGATCTTCAAATGCGTATACTTTAAGCAAGGCAGTCATCCTTTCAGAGCTCTAAGAATTTACTGCTGGAAAACTATGATTTTGTAACCAATCCGTTTGATTTTAAGATAACATAGTTTAAAGTAGTTGCATTATCATTACATACATTATAATTAAGCTTCTTTTGTCAAGCTATCAATTATCCACTGAAGCCCAGATTCCATTACGTATAACTCTTAAACAAAATATTTTTGAAGACTATGACGTATAATAAAAAATATATTGGATTTTGATATACGTGCTATTTATAAGATATTTAAATATAGCAAAGGTAGATATTTTTGTGTACATTGTAAATGTACATAACTATTTATTTTCGTTCGGGTTTAACATACAGAGTAGACATTTTATTCGGCATCGGGAATACCGAAGGTGCGTCGCACAGCTTCAAAATTCTTGATGTTGAAAACGGAACAACGCGGCGGTTTCTCGCCGCCAAAGGCGAGCGTGTAAGGATCTTCGGGGCACTGTCGCATGCACTGCAGGCGACCCATGTTGAAGTCATGCTCGTAGACGTGCTTGGGCTCGATGCTGCTGAAGTTCCATATCTTGAGCGTGCCTTCCGTGGACGTAGAAGTGAGCAGGTTGGGCATTAGCTTGTTGAAGCACACGCCAGATATTTCCTCGTTGTGGGCTTTGACAGACCAGAGCAGGCTCTGGGGCCGGCGCTTATCGGCATAGTGCAGGTTGCCGTCGTTGGTGCCAATGATAAAGTAATTGGTTTCTGTGGGATGCCAAAGGACTTTCTCCACCTCGCCGGCAATCTGCCACTTGACAAACGCCGCGTTTACGTTCTCTGCGTCGCGGCAGTCGAACAAACGGACGTAACCATCCGCACAGCCTGCGAGAATGCTTTGCGCCTCCTCCGGATGGAATTCTATGGATTGCACCTTCTCTTCGAATGCGGTGATGGTTGTGTGCGGCTGGCCTTCATCCATGTCCCAAAGGATGAGCGTTCGGTCCACTGAGCCACTCGCTAGTATGTGCTCAAATTGGGGATTCCACGATAAGTCCAGCACAGCATCTTTGTGCCCGTACTGTTCCTTTTGTTTCTTGCGATTACCCTTTGAGCCAAGCTTGAATGTCGGCTCAATGGAATCCTGTATATCCAGATCCCAGATGGTGATAATCGGGTCCATGCAGCCGATGGCGCACATATTTCCTGGCTTGTCGCTGCCCGCATCGTGGTTCATCCACTCGATGCACAGCGGGAAGCTTGGCAGCAAAAAGTCGTGGTGTGTGTAAAGAGCCTGCTCCTCCTGATTGAACACCCAGACCTCCATGCTAGCGGCATCGTCCTGCACGTGCCCGACGAGTACCAGGTTGTCAGTCGGCTTAATCACCTCGTCCTCGGCCTCGGAGTCTTCGTCCTCGTCGGGCACCTGTTCATCGGCGTCAACAACGTTGGCAATATTTGTTACAGTAGTGTTTTCTTCGTTTTCATAATTCTCGAAATTGAATTCGTCATCTTGTGGATTTGCATTGTTAGCGCTGGCTGCAGGTGGCTCGCGGTCGACATCCATGTTTTCTTCATCCTCATCTTCGTCATCGTCGTCCTCATGCAACTGGTCCCGAGTCTCGCCAATAATGCGCGCAAGCTCCGCCTGTGTTAGGACAATTTTTTCAGGGCGCTCCTTTGTGACGCCGCGTGGAACAAAGCACAGGGCTGGCACGAAGTCTATGCTTGGCTCCGCTGGACCATCCTCCACTTCCGTCATTGTTAAAATAGTTAATATTTACAAAATGAGGAGCGGCTACAAATCACCAACAGGCCAATAAGCACGTGCACGAGTTAACTGCAAATAATGCCCAAAAAAACAAGGCTGGTCACCCTAGCAGAGAAGGTGTGGCCATATGATGTTCACTAGTAAAGCAAATCGTTATCGATTTTCGAAAAGCTTACGAGCCCGCTATGCTTAAAAATTAAATGCATGATAAAACTGCTTTAAAATTTTTATTTTTTAATTCCCCTTTTATTTATTGTTTGTCAACCGTACAAAATCATACGAGCTATGTTCCGCGATAAGTGCTGTAACCATAGGGGCTAAGTAAAAGCGGAACATGATAGTTTTGTTTCTCACTGCAATCCACTATCAGCTCGACGGCTGGATAAAAGGTTTTTATATTTTGCGCAGCAAAATATGCTCCCACATGAAAGGTTAACTTATAGATACCCTTGGAAAAGTCCGCTTGGTCCAGCAACTGACAGCGACCATCTGCATTGGTTTCCGATGGTCGAAGGGCCTTCCATTCTTGGGATTCCTCCAGGCGATAGGTAGTAATCCTGATGTTAGCTGCTGCCTTTCCCGTAGAGGTGTTTAGCACGTGCGTTGAAAGTTTACGTGTGTTCATTGTGGCGGAGAGCGTCTGACTAATGACTTCTGATAATCTTAGCTTTAAACAAATGTCGGTTGTTTACATTTTGGAGATTTACCTGATAAGAGATCATATTAGATACTGTTTCTTGCTCTGATAAAAATGAGCGCGTATTATAAAATGTGTACTCATATCAGTTTCGGTACGCAAAATGAATATAAAAAAAAATTATCCCGCGGTTCCGGATAAAAACATCATCTAACATAAGAGAAAAACTAACTTAATAGTGAAACTAACATAAGTTATCGATAGGCAGTTAACGCTAACATTTATGCTAAATAACAGTCGTTGTGGACTGCTCTGTTAAATAGCTTACTGCTGCAACGCTGACAGTTTGTTCTTTTTGTTATTGTAAAATTTGTTTTTGTGGCGGTCGGGTCGGCTGTTTTGCGTCGGAGCATCCGTATCGCGACTTTGAAAAATGTATTTCAAAGTATAAGCAAGGCCGATATTGAAGCTTTAAATGTAAATTGCAACAATCTAGTTATCTAGTTTTAATTATAAAATATATCCGGCGCCAATCCGTTCTGTAAATTGGCTGCGTTGTTCGCCAGTTGTGAGTGCCGGTTAAAATCAAGCAATAAACGTGAAACTTATAGAATAATATTATTATTACCTGAGTTATAGTATATGAAAATGATACGTCAACCGGCCAACGCCACGCCAATTGTCTATTTGTTTAATATCTTGTTGTGATTTCATGTGCCCACGTTTCCAGTGCAGCCCGAAGCAAAAGCAACAGTTGTTTGTCTTGAAACAGTGTGAAAAATAAATGAATTAATAAGCAAATGCAAATGATATTCGCGCTTCGTTATGTCAAAGAAAATAGTAACAGGGAATAGAATCCGATCTTTTATTATTGGAAAGTACAAACTTCTTTGTATGGGACATATGTAAACGCGATTGCTTGTACACACATACATGTGCATGTGTGTGTGCACATACACTCTTACAAGTTAATACACAAGCGCGAGCCTGAACCGACGCCTGAGCAGAAGCATCGAAGTTACCAACTTCAATCCCAACAAATCTTAAACCAGTTTTAAGATACATATTCTTGTTGTGTGTCTGCGTGTGCATGTTGTTTTTTTCGCAGTATAATCTTGCTTAGGGTATTATAATTTTGTCACAAAATGTGTGACGCCTCAAAGGAGACAACTCTGATCCTGTCTGTTCCTGTGCTAATCTCACAGTCTTATATCTCTAATGAAACTTTGCATGGATCCGTCTGTCTGTTAAATAATTCTTGTTATACTTCTAAAATCAAACTATATATATATATATCTTAAATCTCCTCTAGCAAGAATACGACACATCACAAATGTCTGCAAGGGTATTTAGAGCTCGGCTTGTCGAATGTTGGCGTTCTTCTTGTTTTCGTTTTGCTGCCTCTGCAGCTTTGGGTGAATACGTGTGCATATGTATATGTATACACACTTATACATATAAACGTAAGCGTGCATGTATGTGTGTGCAAGCACAAGTCGGATACCCTTTGGCTGTTTCTCTTTACCTCGGCTTAAACTAATCGCGTGATGATTTCGTTGTTGTTGTTGTTGCTGTTGATGTTTGTTGTAATCCAACAAGTACTGCACGTCTCCTGCCTCCTCCCACGCGAAACAACAGTTTAAGGCAACAATAACAAGTTCAGTTTCTAACCAGATCAGCAACAACAGGAAAGCCCACAAACACACAAACACAAAGATTATGTTCCAATCGGACTAATTTTATAATTGAAATCTTTTTACCTGGAATAACAATTATATTTGAGGTAAGATAAAAGTGTTTTGATTAGGTTTTTGACCAAAAAAAAAAAGCCAGATAGGCGCGATCTGAATTCTAAAAAGCTGAAAAATCAATTATACATATATAAAACAAAATCAATTATATTCAATTGAAATGAAAACTATAACAAAAAGATACAAAAAATTGACATATTATATTATAACTTATATATTTATGTGTCATAGCTCACACTTTTATTTTCAGTTTTTTATTTGTTGCTTGTACTTTAATTTATTTCTTTGCCCCAGGCAATAAACTTTAAAGAAGAACCGTTATCTGCGTTTTGTTAAAGCTGAAATCTTTGTGTCCACATCTTGGCCAATAATATATGCACATACATAATTGATTCCGAGCTGCCTACCCCACTCGCGATCCGCGATCAATTATGAAGCTCTCTGTGAAAAAAGGGCCAAAAATAACATTTTAGTGGAGAGAGTGTTTACAATTTTGGACATTTCGATGTGGCCAGCGACGTAATGACCCCGTCGATTTCCACGCTAACGTAATTTTGCACAATTTCGGTTTGTTAGCCAACGATAAAAACGCAATCAGAAAGTGCTAACGGTCGATACGCAGATATGCTTAATTGATTGATATGATTCGATCGACAAATTTGAGGCCCGTGGCCAAATCAGCGCCACATTAACAGTATACAAAATTTGGAATTTCCAATCTTCATTCATTTGCATACTTTTCATACTTAAGACAACCAAGACTTGGCCAAACATCAAAGGCTGCTGGCAAATTAGAAACTAGCCGGCAATTATTGACAGACACTCTTGCACAGGGATCTTGCTCTTCTGAGCAGCGAGTAAAAAGTTAAATTCCAAGCTCAAGAGTGCAGGCCAGAAACAGGAAATGAGTCCCCCGGCCCAGGCCAGTCGAGTTTTCAAGTACCTTTCGTTCGCTTGGCCATTGCAACGAGTAGTTCTTGTCATTTATCAGCAGCATACTCTGCTAAAGTGCATTTAAACTTCATGTCAATCTCTGGTCTTATACTCTGTTGCAAAGTTAAATCTAGTCTATTGGGCTGCACTTGAAAATGGGATGTTAAAAATTGCCTTTAGATTGTGGGCTACAAGGTTCGGTACACAGTTCGAACCTGCTCCAGGCCGAAAAATGTAATTATTAAATTTAATTGAAGAGAACCTGGTTCAGTTCGGGTTTCGGCTTGGCTCTTTTGTAGGCAACGAAGGGCTTGGCTTAAGGTTCGGCTTATAGAAAAATATAAATTGGCATTCCGGGAAAACAAAACTCCTTTGTAGTCCTGTTATCGCTGCAACTAATCTTGAAGACATTTTGGACTAGATAATATGTATTAAGAGAATTTTATTTTATATGAAGTTTTAAGCATTATATTATAACTATTTGGTATTTCTTGCCCTTTCCCATTCCCATATTTTCTTAAAATCTCGGAAATATTAAACCCAATCTATTCATAATATCTCTAATATCACGTCTCAAGATATATTTTACATAGATATTTTGAAAATAAGTGTTAAGTCCACTCTAGTCTCCCTAGCCGACATTACGAAAGAACTTAACAAAGATCAGAAATATATTCGAAAATTAGTTTAAATCTTCAGCACATCATCTAATTGCAATAAAATTGTCAGCTTCGTAGATGTACAATCGGTCAATCAATTAGTCAGAGCGAATAGTTTTATATATATATCGATTATTACAAACATACACAAATATTTATTAATTGTATATGTTTATTTTTACTCTCTGATGTAAGATTGATAGTGTCATGAATAGTAGGGCCCAGATATGTCGCACGCACACACACACACAGAGGCAGCACTCATGTGTGTGTACTCAGACGAATACTTTTGAGTACTTGTGCTCAACCGCACATAAAACTGGAAAATATCTATAAATTTTTTGCTGTCGTATATTTATGTTCCGAGGGAATACTGGCTCGACTCTCTTTCTCTCTCTCTCTGGCTGTGCTCTCTGTTTGCCTAGATGGCCCGCATTCTGGCAGAGCGAACCGATCATCAGTCCGGGGCCGTGTGGCACAGCTGCATCCGTGAGATACATAGCTGAACGCACTCAAGGGCTGTTGTTTACATAAGGACATCCTGCTTGGAAAGAAAAGAGTAGAGACACTTGATCAGACAGTGGGCAATGCCAGTTCCCGTCTGAGGATTTGCCTTTTGCACTGTCTCGTATTACAGGCCGGGCTGGGATTCTTGTGTGGCCACGTTTCGTGCCTGCATAAAGCGAATTTCAATGGCGACCTGACGCACCCATTTGCGCATATAGTATCTACTATACTTACATACTTGTACTTGTGCACACAAAAGATATTATTAAGTGTATCTAGCTGCACAGTTTGCAAATTTCTCAACACGTACTGTGTAATATATATATATACCAGATTGCTTGGGCCAAGGAAAATTCCATAAAAAAAGTGTGTGTGTGGATATAGATATTTTTAAAAATTCTTCGGCTTTGCCATGGCAAACTACTTACGAACCTAAATAAGCATATATATATATATATATATATATGTAGTATAAATATGTAGTCGAGTTTGTGCTGATGTATTTGGCTGATGTTGCGGCAGTTAGCGTGACTGAGGCATTCGCCATGCTGAAGTGAGTTTTCAAATTTGATACAAATTTCAGTTTTCTTTCGCAGTTGTTTTACTGCCAAATTGCCGCTGCCAACAAGTCAACCAAGTCCGAACAGCACTCCCAGCAGACCCAGACCCAGAAAACTGGCGCAAAATTCAAACACTGAATATAATTGGAAAGGCATTCGAGATGCTTAAGTGCTCGCTTGGAGCTGCTGCTGCCGATCTCCAAGGTGGTAATGGAGCTATTGCTCTTCGAATCCGAGCCCCATCTTAACTCGATTCAGTCGCGCACTAAATACCAATTGTAACGCAAACGTTAATCACATCAGCGAGAAATAATGAAAATGTTCAGGTGTAAATGCATATACTACATACGTTGTGCTTCGCGCCAATCTCCTAACTTAAGCATGGGAAAAGTTATGAATACTTTAGAAAATGGTCTAGAATAGTGCTGGGCTAAAACATCTTTGCCAATCCGAAGATGAAATACCCTTTTTTATATATTAACAAGAAAAAATTACCCGGACTGCCCGGTTCAATAGTGCCTGCTTACGTAGGAAGCTTTAGTTAACATTTCATTAGCCTAGTTTTTAAGTCCTAGGATCTCTCTTTAAGATGCATCGCGATTTTTCCTTCTATGCATTAGACAAAGTAGTCAAAACCCTTTGTAATGATCTACATACAAATTATGATATAAATAAGAATGATGCATAGAGCATAACTGGAAGGAAATGTCCTATCTATTTTAGGAACTCATCAACATCAACAAATCTTGGCCCAAATTTTATAAACACGTGCATTAAACATAACATAAATAGTAAATAGAAAATTGATTCATATTCATTCACAATTTGAAGGCGTTGCATTCACACGCAATTCGAATCAATTGCCACATTGACACACAAATCGTTAGTGTGTCGGTGTTTGCGAGCGTGCCTGTGTGTGTGTGTGTGTAAACATGCTTGTAGACCAATTGTAAGTTCCATACCAGACCTGGTACGATGACGGGCTATAAAAGAAGACCTTCACGGTAGAAAACAAACACTAAGCCAGAAGACAAACGTCAGACGAGGCTGATGACGAGACGACAATGGCAATAAAAGCATTTGCACATGAGGGGAGGAGGCGGGGGTTGGGGGTGGATAGGTAGTGGCAGAGGGGGTGGGTTAGCGGCGAGGGGGGATCAATTGGCCGTGCTGTGCATGTTAAATAATAAAACAACGAGAACAGTCGCAATAAGAAGGTAAATACGTAAGTTTTCACTATACCCTGTACGCATTGAAAATAGGTAAAAAAGGGGTTGCATGGATTCTTATCAATGTATGTAACACAGACAGAAGTTTGAACCTCCAATTCCGTAATGTATAAGCATATATTAAAGCCATGTCTGCCTATCTGTATAACTCGGAAACTACATATTTCGGAGTCTAGAAATTTTAACTATTTATTTACTCCAATGTAAGAGATACGACGTCTTCACAGATTGAAATAAAGTTCTCCCAAAATTAAAAAAATACTTGCTTTTAAAGCTTCACACACATTTTAATATTTTATTTAAGTTCTCAACCAGTTTAAATCCCAACGCTCTGAGCAAGAAGCACAGCACAGGGCAAAAGGCAGCTCGGAACTGGAACAGGGTATCCACTCGGTCGGGCACGCCCGACTCAGCACTCTTACTTGTTTAACTTGCACATGACAGGCTGATGTACTGTTCTGTGGCCAACAGGTTGGGCACTCTGCCGACCATTGCATACCAAATAGCCTCTCTTTGTCCGTCCTCCTGAATCATGTATGCCCCGTAAGGGGGCGGGGGCGTGGGCTAATGGAAACATTACCTGGTCTAGTGGTAACTGTTCTTTATGTATGTTCGCTGTGCTTTTCTCTGTATAATTAAGAGATTTTAGGCTATCGCTTATTCAAGGCAAATATAAACAACAAAAAATAACAATTGTTTTGTGCATTTGCTTTCGATTCGACCCGAATTTGACCCACATTTGTCTTTAGCTTTCGGCTTTTTGCTTTTTGTTTCGATTCAATTCGTTTTGTGGTAATATCCAAAAATTGCTGGCTTCTCGCCAAGTGACGCTGTTAATTGGGTCAAACTTCGTCATGTTTCTCTTGCGAGCATTAGCCCGATAATCTTTGCACTAGAGACCAGACCCAGACCCAGACCCAAACCCAACCCAGACCCAGGCGCAGACCCAGGGCCAGACCCATCAATGTCCGACTCTATGTCCGGCTCTTTGTTTACTTTACGCTCATTTTCATTGCGGATAATTTCACCTTTTATAGTTTGTAAGACGTTTAAACGATTTAGCGCTAATGTTGCCCATGTTTTGCTCTTGTCTTGCTGGCTTTCTTTTAACATTTTTGCTTTATTAGCGTTACTTTTTGGGACACTGCAATTATGATCTGTTTTTGCTGCTGTTGCTGGGATTATTTTTTCAAGTACCGCAAGTAGTATGCTCCAGTCCAGAGTGCCGGTGATGCTCCGTTCCCAACGACGAGCTGCCGCCTAACATTTATTTTCTCCTAAATCCTCATAGCTCGATAACCTATGGCCTACAGGGTATACAAATTCGGACAGCATTCATCTTCTTTCTTATAGTTTTCGAGATCGAGATGCGTCCATACAGACGAACATGAAGACATCCTGTCAGCTCGATGGGTACAAAGTGGGCCAATGTCACAGTTATTTCTTATTTCTTCCGAAATCGTCTCTATTATACAGATGGAAAAGACTTGACAGTCTCAGCCTGATGGGTACAGGGCATACAAAGCGGGGCAATGTCACAGTTCTTTCTTTAAATTTCCGAGATCGAGGTGATCCCACAGTTGGATATGACTTGATCGTCTCAGCTCGATAAGTACAGGGTATACAAATTGGGATAATGTCAAAGTTGTTTCTCAACTGCAACACGAATGTAGTTAAGAGGGCGTAATGCCTACAGCTGTTATGCACAATAAAACACTCGCTGACAGCAATCGACCACACCCCTGCGGGATTCGATTTCTGTGAGCGAATCGCATCCAAGTGCCAAAGGTTATTTTGAGGCTTTCACGCTTCGCTTGGCCCGACTTGATTTGAGATTTAATTGCGATCACTGAATAAGCTGCACAATTAGCCGCAATCGCAACTGGCTTTGTTGCTTTCTGCTGATTGATTGATTGATTGTGGGATTGAATGAATAAATATTCGCCAAGTACATGCCAGGGTTGGGATTCGTATTTGATTATCTGCATTTAATTAGACGTCGCATGCTTGGGGGTTAGCCAAGCGTTTAGCTATTTGCGCAGTGTTTCGCCTATTCGATTTCTGTTTTGCGTTCCATTGCTTGAGCAGGTGCTCCGCATACTTTTGTGATCTTTGCGGTGTCGCCGTGAAAGGGCTCTTGCAATGCAAACACACCTGTCGAACGCGACGATCGCGTCGCTGCCCTTGGCCTGCGTTGTATTTTGCTGACGCACTAATCAAATGAGCTGCAATGTCGAAAAACTCGAGTCGTTAAAAAATCAATTTATATACCCTGAAATTATCCATTGTTACCCATTGAAACTGAACACAAAAGAGTATATTGGTGTTGTGCAAGTCTAGGCAGACATCTCTAACCCAAGATACGTATGTATATAGTCGACATCAACAGACGAGTCCATCTAGCTATGCCCATCTGCCGTAGCGATATATGGCACGTAGTTGCTCTTACTTCTTTTTTCTTTCTCGTTTCTGCAAAATCGATAAATATCGATCTTCCATTTAGGTTTTTTGAGTATAGCTCTATGCTTTTAAGCAGTACGTTTTTGTATTCCCCCTAAAAAGAATAACATTGTAGAAGGTATTGCCTTGCGAATTTATTTATTATTCATTTAATTGCCGAATACCTTATAAAAATCGGACTATAAGCATCGAGTTTATTCAAGAATACATTTATCATAGCCTGGGACGGAGAAAAGTAGCATAAGCTTGCGGCTTGCGGTTCATGTGCATATTTTTAAAGTCATCTGGACGACGGTAACAGGGTATCTCCTAGAGGGCCAATCCTTACTTCCCAGCTACTGGCGCAATCGTGCATGTTCTTTGCTTACAATTTTTAACCCTGAAGATTGCGACAGACATTTATAGGCCTATTAGCTACGTCTGTCTCTTCTATATCAGAACAACTACATCAGAATTATATTATTTTTAGAAATATCAGCATCGCACAATCATTGGAGACTATGGCTCAAATACATTTTCGCATTCAGATTTGATCAAACTCATAAATACATAAAGAGTTTTCGACCAAAAGAATATAAATTATCGCAACAATTAACGCAAACAAGTTTCGGGTATGACGAATTCACGCCTGAGAGCTTGGGAATAGATACGAAGCAGAGCACATGAAGTATGTTATGTTTAAATGTAGAATCTGTGCGCTGATCTTTGGCCGTGTAATTGCGTTGCTGTCTCATCGAACTGGAAACAGTTTCTATTTATGCCGAACCCGGGACCCCCGCTGAAGAGACACAGAATGACTGTGCGGAGGTTGTTGAAACGTCAGCTTGGTTCAGTTCGAGGTTGAGGTTGGGGTTGAGTGGTGCGAGGGAAAGGCAGCGGCATCTTAGCTCTACGATCCGATTGTGTTCGACTTCGGTTCGGGTTTATTTTTACTTATGATCAGACGAAGAGTAAGATACACACACAGAAAATGTAAATTTTATGCCTCTCGCGGCGCTCACGTAGTAGTCGGTGTCATAAACGACTTGGAACTCGAATAGCATCAGATAGAGCATTACACTTCTCAAGTATTGAAGCTTGAATAAATATATTTTCCTTCTTACTACTCACACATATTTAATTTGTGAAGTGGCCAGATTTGTTTTACTTTAAATATCTTTAACTTCTTGTTCAGA